ATTGATTTTTCAGTTTGAATTGTTTAATATGGGCAACTTTTTAACTCAGTCTTTTATGCCTAGTTTCCTTAGTCATTCTCCTATTTTCTATGCATTTTTTCTCACAACTTCAGATTCAGTTGACGTAGCCCACATTTTTTAAGAAATCGTAAAAAACAGGGTAGTTTTTCTTATTTTTAGCATAAAAATCTGGCTCACATTTTTAAAAAGACCATAAATAACAGAGTAAAAACTTGAAAATTTACTTTTTTTTCTTTGAGGAAAATCTGTGTTAGAAAAAGGGGGTTAAAAATCAGGAAAAAATGTCTAAGAAAACTAGGCATAAAAATCTGATTTGAAAAGTTATACATATTAGACTACAGAAGTCTTAATAACTAGGTGCAAACAAAGCACATAAACAATTTAAATGACGATTTGTCGAAAGTCCCTCATCATTTACAATTAAATCCACCCACCGTTTAGAGTAGTCGAGTGAAGTATCTAAAATAGCAACAAGAAGAGTTTCAGTAACTACGAAATGAATTAGTATTTAAAATATGTGTTTATTTTGTGTTTATTTAAAACTTGAAAATTAACTCATTTTTCTAAAAAGCTGAGTTAGAAAAAGGGGGTTAAAAATCAGGGTAAAAAGTCAAATTTAACGTTTTTGTTGAAAAATAGGGCATAGAAGTAGGAAAATGACTAAGAAAACTAGGCATAAAAATTTGAGTTAAAAAGTCACACACATTATTAGACTACTGTCTGTTGTTTCAATTTACGGGGAAAAAATGAATCAACTGCAATATGATGGTACTGGATTGATATTTATTGCCATTTCCAGACAGTGCATCGTTTTAATAATTACTTTAGAACGAGAAATTCTGTAACTTTATCCTGCATGTCACTTGAGATTTGTAACAAAAACGTCTTTGAAACCACAAATCAAACAAATGGAAAACATCCACAACACGCGATAGCTCTCAAGAGGAATTAACATCAGTCACTAGAATGCTTTCAGCACGATGGGGCGTTTGAAAACAATGATGAATTTGCATTTTCTCGTAAAAATTATAAAACCAGCTGTGGGTATTTCACTGTCAGTTTTCATAATAAATTAGGTAATTTGTTAGTATAGTACATTTAAAACAATGGCGAAAAATTAACCTAGACTTTTATTGGCGTGTGCACAAACACGTTCAATGGCAAAACCGTGAAAATTGCTTTATTACATGTTTATTTTTAGTTTAATTTCTTCCGAATTCCATCACACCTAAAGTCGGACTAAAAATAAACTACAATAGACTCGATTATCACTGCTATTATTTTCATGAAACTTGAACTTGACTTTTGTTTATAGTTTCATGAAAACAAGTGAAATGGCGTCATAATTTTTTTTCCAATTTTCGTGAGATAAAACGCAGTTTTACGATCTTCTTGACCTTTCTCAGACGTACTAAAAAATCCTTGGAAAATGTTTCAAATTGTATGTCGTTACTTCCCCCAACATTACTTCAAGATTGGAAGGTCAGTTTATGTCACGTCTTGAGACTCTTCGCATCGTAAAACAGTTTTTACGACCATCACTTATTTTTATTTTTCCAAAAGTAACATTTTTTGTCTAAATATTAATAATTAACAAGCTTATTGATTGCTTGACACTTGATATCTCACTATTAATAGACACTTCATTTGATAAGAGAATTTTAGTAAAACTAGATAATTACTCACCACTGACTTCGTTCCGGTTACTCCGTCAAAATACAAAACCTGAAGTTTTCCTTAACATAACTAAACAATCGCACTTTTCAGTGAATTTCCCGGCTCCGGTCGTTGCACTACCGGAAACATTTGGCCAGATCCGGTATATTTTTTCCACCACCGCGTCACCATTACCCCATTTCAGGTCTTTTGGGTCTAAATTACGTTTTCAGTAATTCGATTTGTGCTTGCATTAAAAAATTTCAGTGTTTGTGGTGAAAAATTGCGTGAAAACTGCAGTGGATGACCAGAGTTTGGTTTTCAGCGCAGGCCCGGAGTCCTCCGTGTGATCGCGCACGTCTGAATCGATTTTCCTGAAATGGGAGATTGCATCTGACTGAAATGCTTCGTCTGAAAGTTGCATTGTGACAACGGGGGGCACAAGACGATGCAATCTTATCAATTAAGCGAATGACACAGACGGTGGCTGTAAATTTTCTTAAGCTGCTTAAACGGTTGCAATGATTTATAACTGAGCTCGATTTAAAATCTCACGCGAGAAAGTTATGATAAATAAAAGACTGCGCAATAAAGTAATAAATAGGTGCATTAGTTTTGATGCTAAAGTAATAATCCTGCTGTCGCTTCAACTTGATTAACATTATTCGAGTTTTTCTCTGCAGTCTTTTAACTATAGCGCAAGATAATGACCGAGGAAACGATAAACTTCGCTTTATAACTCCAGGCGCAACAGTTAGTTTAAATCCGACAAAAACCTTTTATTTACATTAAAAATTGAAATTATATGTCACTGAGAAGTACTTAAAACATTAATTATTTTACACTTCCGTTTGGCTTTTCTAAACAAATAGGTGGCAGCTGGCTATTTCAAACATTTTCAGGAGTACTACTTACATTCTTTACATACTCACAAGGGCTATTATYAGAACTATTTATTTCGTCGGTTTACACCACATTTTTTATGTTTATGCACCGGTTGATTAATCAAAATAGTCAAAATTTCAAATTAATAAAAAACTTTTTGAAATAAAATTAAATAAGATAATCTACCTTTTTTACAATTTTTTAGGAATAAGCAATAAGTTGCTTTTTCAAAACTTCATACGCAGTACTACAGTGTAGTGAAAATTTAATCATAACTTTATCACACCATCTGAAAATTTAATTTTCGGCGACAGGAAACGTAGAATTTATTATTAATATCGCACATTTCGAATTTATTTCAGAGAGAGTAATTGTAGGTGTTAGTATTAATAGAAATTTATAATAACTAGATTATTGTGTGTATTTTTCAGTAAATAGAAAAGTAAATACTTTTGATCATATTTTATTCAAAATTTCTCGCAGTTACATTTTTAACAAGTATTGTTGATGTCACCAAACTGGATATTTCCCCTCAACACTAATCAGTAATCAGAAAAAACATCTTCCACTATTATTTGATCATTGATCTTCAGTGAAGGTGACCCAGAGACTTAGAAAAGTGCAAAAATGTTGTAAAATACTTAAAAATGTGTGTAAAACGTTATAGGGTTGAGTTCAAAAAGTGGATTTTTTGGGTTTTTGTGGTATCCTAAAAATGGTCGCAAAAACGCTTGAAACACAAATTTTCACTCATTTTTATTTCGTTAATTGCGATTAAAATAAAGTGAAAACGGTTTATGTTTTTTACTATACCTACGTAAAATGCTTCGGGAAGTCAATTGGTGTCAAGAAAACCGCAAAATTTTAATAGTTTAGAAGTTATTTATTGTCAAATTAATGTTTTTGCTATTTTTGTCTTTACCAGCAATTTTCTCAGTAACTATACAAAGAAAAATGCCATGTAAGATAAGACAGCAGGAACATGGAAAAATGTTTACAAAATTCTATCTGTCAAAAAATTTTGACATTTATTTTTTGACATTTGACATTTTTCATGTTTATTTAGTAAAGGAAAAAAAATTGACAATAAAAGCCACAAATAACATTAAACACAGTTACAATATCCAGTATCCTAATACAGCTCCCTTGTTTCCTCTTCTAACAGACTGTAGCAAACAAACTTTAAAAATTATTTTTCCAACAAAAATAAATAGAGTGTGCAAAATTTAAACTTTCATAAGTTCGAAATTTTTATAGAAAGAACTTTTTAACATTTTATTCATGTTGCTGGTACGAGTATCTTACCTTACCTTTTCTCTGGGGCGCGAGTTCTGRCGCACCCTGTATATTTACCGCAGAACTATGATCTTTTTTTTTATAAGTTAGAAAATCAAAAATGCTATCCAACGGTACCAAACATAAGACAGTTTGTTATCGAAAAAAAAATTCAAAGTTATTAGTTGATATCCGCTCCGGGTASCGAAATTCGCCAAAAAATTTTCCAAAAATCAAAAAAATTAAAATCTTTAAAATTCAACCAAATGCACTCCTAGAAGTCCAAAAGACTTGAAAAAGTTCAAATACGTTGTAAATACTTAGAAATATTAAAAACGTTATAACTAGAAACGATATAAGTAGAGTTAAGTTAAAAAAAAGTCATTTTTTTTGGATTTTCGGTCGAACAATTTTTTGTCGAAAAAGCACTTGAAATACGGTTTTATAGACGTAAAATTACACGTATTGTATAGCATACTCTTGACTTCCAAATTTGTAAAATAAGTTTTAGTTGTTTTCAGGAGATTGAAATTTAAAATTACTCGCATGTTTGTCTATTATTTCACCGTCCACGTTAAGGTTTTCAGTTATTTTCAGGTTTTCAAAAATTGTAATTTCTGTCAGGTTTTGGTCAGTTGTAAGAGTGATAAATTGTGAACTTCAGGAATAGCTAATTGGCCTAACACCAGAAAAAAGCCGTTTTTGGCCTACATTTTATGCGAATACAAAATTTTATGTAATTATCCTTCACTAAATAAAAAACCCAGTTGATAACTTGCACGTAATACAATTCCCTCGAGCTTTGTAGCCTCCCCATCGCCTTTTCCTCCTCAGTCACGTATATTAAACCTCATTTCAGTTACTTACACTCGCATGATTCAGTCAGGAATGTCGATTTTTCCTAATCGTTTCATGACGGGAAACAATAAACCTCTCTACTAAAAAATCTTCTTTGTGTTATAATAAATACCTCAGTAACACCTCACTTCCTAAAAAAAAACTAAAACGGGTTTACTAACCCTTGTCTGCAGTCAAGTGGAGAAGTCAGTGCACTTATTCTCGCAAATATTGAGACTGAAACCCTAGGGTTCATTGTTTTAGGGGTTGCAGGAAATTTAATCCTGACGCTGACTCATCAGCGAAGGGTGATTGAAATAATTAAACTTGATAACAATAGATTTTATTAATAGAGATTACAAAGTACAGTGTAAATTCTCCTCGATTTGGTTTCCCAACATCACAGCTTCCATAAAACTTAGTTTATTCTTATCAACAACTCCTATTAGTCTCCGCTCTGAAACCCCAATTGTAATCAATTTCGAGCCTTCAATTTTTGAGGATAATTTATGTTTGAATCCTTCAATCCCTTTATATTCATACACCTGTAAAACACTTTGATCTTCCATAAAAACTAGAAAAGTTTCCCCACTTTTAAACTCTAATGAGAGTAAAGACGACGGTTTATAAGTCGCGACCTTATGAAACATTTTCCCCTCAAAGACATCTTCGTAAATCTGGTGAAAAAAAAAAGATTGCTTGGAATTTATTAATGTGTTAAATACCTTAATAAAATCTAAACTGCCCCTAACACTGGTCTCCTCGTGACTTGCAACAGCGAGTAAACTCCTTTTATTGCTTCTAATCCCGACTTTCATTACAACAAGATCACTGCCTTTACGACCGGGGAAAAACGGATTGAATTCTTCAGTACAGTTACCTCTAATTATTTTTTCAGTCTCGTAGCTGAAATCCTCGACGATGGGGTCTTCACGATGCAATCTAATTAATTTTCTTCCTGTCCGTAACGTTAAGCCGGTAGCTAAGCCTCTAGGAACAAATGCCAAGTTGTCTGAAATAAAATTGCAAAATCACTCCTACAATAATTATCTTCACCTTCATCAACTTTCCACTTCCTGGTTCTTGTGACAAGAGTGTCTAACTCTGATAAAACTTTAAATTCGGTTATTTCGTTGCCACTAATGCCGTAAAAAATCCCCGGTGCTAGAGATTCTTGCAACAAATCTTGATCTTCGATATTTGCAACATGCTGAAACGTTTCTTCGTGTTATTTATCTAAACTTGATTAACTTACCACGAAATGTTCATCGATTACTTGCCAAAGATTGGTCCCTTGAACTTTACAAGTTGAATAGAAAGCCTGATTACGTATGACTAAATAAAATAAATTGTGGAGACGCACTGAAATAATCTGCGAAACTAAACCAAAGTGAAGACTTTGAACAAAACGGAATTTTTCACCAAAAGTGAATAAATGAGACTCGCAATTTYTCCGTTCACTTATCAACAARTWGRCTTTGTTTTGGTGTTCAAAACTAAAAACGTGCTCGATGGGGTTTTGGAAATTGAGCATTTGTAGATTTTCCAAGTAATTGAATTTGTAAATTTGGTTTTGTAAACGTTCATACATGTAAGTCAAGTCTTTGCAAATATTGGTGTAATCGTCCTGAAATCAATTATGACTTGAAAAAATTAACTAAAAATACTACATACAACGAGAGCTTTCTCCATGGCGTATTTATAATTCCGTTTTTCCTCAATTTCGTGACTGAATTTTTTAAAATTGAGGCTATTAATTGAYCCAAAACCGGTGGTTTCGTCTTCGAGGACCAAATCTTGATCGATGACCCAATTATTGGTGATATTTTGCACATAGGGTGCTGATATTTTAACCCCTTCTGAATCCCACTCCGTGATATTAATCCCATTGACTAAACCTTGAACGATTAAATCGTTTCCAATGTTGACTTTAGACGTAAAATGGTAAATCCCGGTTAATTCCTGGTCGGTGTTTGTTGTAACAAAACGAGTCGTTTCGATTCYGTTAATCGATGATAATTCCAAGTTGTCGATAAAAACATTCCCAAGAAATTCAACATCTGAATYAATTTCTTGCTCGGTATTAATCTACAACTTCGGGTCATTTGAGTTTGGTGTAAATTGTGGCTTACCAGGACAGWGTTGGCAAACTCATTTGGTAAGTTATGAAAGTTGGTAGAGTTGYCCACAGGCAAATCCTTGAATAAATTAACTGCATTGAAGGATAATTGTGTTAGGTTYTGGTGAGTCCTTAATGGCACCAAAGTGTTGATGTTAATATCGTTTATAAAGTCGGTTTGTAAATTATCAACAATTGTGACATTTTCAAAGATAAATTTGCCTAGAAATTACCGATTTTGTTGATTTTTTTTAACTTGTCACAAACCTTTCATGAATCCTTTGTTAACAAAAATTGAGTCATCCATCCAAGAGGTGAGATTGATTTTGTTCAAGTCGTGCGTTTTGAGATTATTGTTTACGATCATGTGGTCGATGAAAGTAGGTTTAGTGAATCTCGCAGAACTCTTTATGGAGGCGTCCTTCGTGATCATTACCATATCAGACACAAATGCCGGAAGGTCAATACTGTTGATTTTCCCAATCACTCGGATGTTTTTTTCAAAGTTTGCGTTGTTTTCAAACGTGGTCTGGCCTTGGATCTTAAAATTGTCGTCGGTGTAAATAATGCCGTCTAAAAATTCCTGAACCGAGTTGATGTGGAGGTTGTGGATGTGAGGTAGACGGGTAAAAAGAACGTCTCCTGGAATAAATTTTGACCAAAATTGTAGCAAACCACAAGACTCACCTTTTAAGTAAATTTGATTATTATTGACTTGGAAAAAATCGGTTATTGTTTCAATCGAAGTATTATTGATGTTATTAACARTGATATTTTCACCAAACTGGACATTTCCCTCAACAGTAACTGGACCTGTAATTTCTTGAACCCCGTACTTTCTTAAAATATTGCCCAAAAACACGTTGTTGATTTTTTGGGATTCTATCAGTTTCCTGACTGTGAAACCCTTAAGGAAGATTTTGGTGTGAGGAAAAGTCACGTCTGTTTCATTCTTGTAAACAATATTTGTAACAAATTTGTTGAAATTTACACCACCAAAGTTTTCAATTTCGACACTTTCAAAATGTACATCGTCCTGAAAAAATAATTACAAATTTTTGTCAATTTCCACAACTGTTTTACATTGAAASTCAGGTTTGTTAAATTGTGTTTCTTGATGTCCAAAGCTCCGCCAAGACCCACAGTTGACTTGTTATCAATTTTATCAATTTCGAGCGATTTTGCATACAAGTCTAAAATTGGAATTTCAGAAAAATATTGAAAAAAAATAAGTCTCACTTGTAATCTCCAAATTCCCGGTTAGAATTTTTGATTTCAGTTTTTGGTTTATTGATACTGAACTAAATTCGTCATGATTCACGTCATTAATTTTTTTAGCTGAAACTGAAGTAACAAAAGAATGACCGATTTCTGAAACACCCTCCACTGTTTGATCTTCAGTGAAACTCATTCGATTTTTGCTAAATTCCCCCAAACTGAAACTTTGTATTTCACCCTGAAAATTTCCCTCAACCACAACGTTTTCAGCATCGAGTGACCCGAAAAATCGGTCTTTTTGGCGCACAATTTTAGCCTCAAGTTCATTAACAGTTAACTCATCTTCAAAAATTAGAGTCGAAGAAATGTATTGCTCTCCGTCCACCTTGACTAATTCCTCATCCAGTTTTGTGATATTAACAGAATTGTAAAGTCCCCCAATTTCAACATTACCAAAAGTGACAATTCCGTCAAGGACACTCAAATTTAAAACCTGATCCGTGTTTTTTGTAACAATTTTGGCCAAATTTATATTATTGACAGTATTTGAACTAATTATTAAGTTTTTGCGAACTGTTAATCCTTCAGGGAAGGTTTTCAATCCATCAATAAATGGTTCTTCTTCACTAGAATACACGATATCGCTCAACATTGACTTGAAATTTTTCCCGTTGAAATTTTCAGATAAAAAAATCACTCCTTCGACTTCTAAATCTTTGAAGTGGGTTTTAGCCGTTACAAAATCGGTTTTCAGGAGAGTGGGATTTGGGAGGAATTTACTCGCATGTTCGCCTATTATTTCACCGTCGACGTTAAGACTTTCAGTTATTTTCAGGTTTTTGAAAGTTGTAGTTTCTGGCAGGTTTTGGTCAGTTGTAAGAGTGATAAATTGTGATGTATTGATATCATTGATGGTTCCTTCACAATGGACTTCAGGGGTGATTAATTTGTTAAAAGTTTTTACCCCTAATACCAAAAATTGTACCACAAGTTAATAAATTTACAATAATTACCGGTTATATTTGGAAAAGTGTTATCTAAAAAAACGTATTCAAGTGGAAATTTCAAGTCGTTCAAATATTCAATTTTGGCGTCTCTTTCAACGGTTACATCCTGAAAAATACAGTTTTTCACTTACCTAATCCTGAATATGAAACACAATTACCCCTTCTATTTTAACTAATCCAGGAACATAATTTCTGATATTTCGAAGACATAATTGGTGCAAAAAATTGTTGAAATCGTCACCATTTACTTTTTCAACTGTGATATCTTGTGGAATAAAAAGTGACTCAAATTCAAATGTTCCAGATTCGTTAATTTGTGCCTCTGACGGGATATACTGATCGTTTAATTTTTGAACATTAGCTTTGTTTGTTTTCACACTTTCAAAAATAATTTCTTGCGAAATAGGAGACTCCAAATTGATAACTTGGTCTTCAAATTTAGCTCCATTTACATTACTAGTTGCAACATCTTGTAAAACACATAAAGGCTTCTCTAAAATCAAATCACCATCAATTGTGAYATTATCAGTAGCAAAAAAAAGTTGATTTGAGTTAATTCCGTTGACATTATCAAAAAGCAAATCTTCAGTTTCCAGATTTTTGAAAAATTTTTGACTAGAAATTGCACTAATATTATCTCTCCTAAAACAATAAATTAGACGAATTTTAACACTTTTGTGGCCCTACATAACAATATCTTCAAGAAGAGTATCCGCCAACTCTTCACCAATTTCCTCAACTTGAACTTCTTCAGCTGTTACGTTACTTTTGATTTCAACAACGTTATTAAAAGTCACTGAATTGTAATGAGTGGGACTTGCATCGAATTGTTGTTTCATAATCAAAACATTTGCATTCATTTCATCCAATTTTGCTTTAACTGAATCCAAATTAAACACCTGTCGCGACTTTGCGACTAATTCTTTGTATTTTCCTTCTTGAACTTTAATCAAATTCTACAAAAGCTATTTATTTGACTAGAAATAACGCACAGATGCATACATTAATTTCAGACTTTCGTTTAATAAACTCTTCTAATTGTTGGTCGAGAGGGTTTGAAATTTGTCTAATTTCAATTTTGAACAAAAACACGTCGCTTGAGCGGTTTTTCCKTGGTACCACCAGACCCAAATTATTATCAATATTCATCAAAGCGGACCCTTCAATGCCACCTTCACCTGGCAAACAAGATAAACCCAAAACCTCTTCCCCGTAATACACACAATGGATATCATCATGTTCCTCGAATTTATCCCCGTTATACGTGATTATTTCGGTGATAAAAGATTTATGGCCTCCGTGCAACAGCGAACGTTGAGCAATCAACATGAAATCGTCTCCGTAAACGGACAAATGTATAGGCAACCAGAAATTCACACCGCTGAAGTGACTATTGGATAAACTTTCTTTCAGGAAATTCCCTTTAACTAAACGGTAAATGCCCGCATTCATGCCGTTAATGGCAAGAAAAGATTTATGCCCACAGGTGAAGGCAACAACGTCGGTGATGCCACCACTGGTCAAATTTTTGTAACTAATAAAGTGATTATCACTCATTTTGTAAATTGATAAATGGTTGAGTGATTTTTGCGGAATTGCGAGGAAAAAATCAGGGCCTGAAGTGATCACACTGGAACTGTGKGCAAAATCAGACAAGGGCAATTTCTGACGGAGCCTGAAACGAAACTAGGGAAAAATTGCGATTCCTGAAAATAATTACCAAAAATTAGGTGATTTTTTCAGTTCAATTTGGTATAAATCGGCTGTGATTTGAGATAAGTGTTGATTTATTATCAACAAGTGGTTGTCAAAATCCATTTGGAAAAAGTTGATGTGAGTTATATTTTTGCGAATGGGCCAGACCCAAAATAGAGTTGAGTTGGTTTCGTCGAGTTTATACCAAAGCAATTCAGTGATTACCGCAATCACAATTATGGTTTCAGAATTTTGCAAACTCGAATTCCAGTTTTGGAAAATGGCAACGTCGGTGATTTGTTCTCCTAAATCTGTTACAAAATAAGTTTGTGGTGTGAGAAAATCAAAAACTTACTAATTTCTTGTGATTTTTGCCAAAATTGGTTTTTGTCCTCATTGAGKCTTACGATAGAAATGACCACGTTTTTGTCTAAAAGACCGACAAGATAGCAAATCTGGTCATCACACAGACTTTTCCAACTTTTTGCAACATAATTGAACTTAAACTGGTCATCAGTTGTGATATTAGTGATTCTGAGTTCTAAAAAATTCGTTSAATTACATAATCAGAGAAAAAATTGTTACCTTCTCGGTTTTGGTGGTTGGGATTGTGTTGATAAGAATGCCAAACATGTTCCAAACTCGCACAATTAAAAAAAAATGCAAACACTAAAATTACATACAACAGCATTTTGCACACACACATTTACGAAAAGAATAAAACCGGTAGAGATAATTTTATCGGGGGAAGGCCAGTTTTTGTGATTAGGGTAGGTTCAATAAAACAAATCGTCAACTATTTTATTTAATAATTACCACAGAAACACAGTGAAAAGTGGTGTTTAAAAATTTCMAGTTTTTAATAACATATTTTCACTCAGTTTGTAAATAAGTGGAGTACATTAAAGAAYACTTTCCACACCAATCTCGTGTTTGCTACTTTAACTATGTACAATCTTAAAATTAATAAATAATTGAGCATCAGTTCAGGGTACACTAACGGACAAGAACCTTTTGGGGTCACCAATCGTAGGCTGGAACCTCAAATTAACCCGTTTCCCTTTCGTGTCATCAATGTCCAAAAATGTGTTCCAATCGACCAAATAGTAGAAACCAGTTTTTCGAGTTGTGGTTTCTGGAACTGGTGGTTCGGTCGGCGCTTCAGTTTTTCCACCGAAAGACTCCTCCAAAGCTGTCAAAGACGGAGTTTCCGCTTCCGGTTTACTCGTAGTACTAGTTGTACTTTCCTGTCTTTTGATTTCGTTTTTAACAAGACCTACGTCGAAATTATTGGGGTTTGGCGAGTCAAATTCTTTTTGGTCCAAAGTTTCGGTTTTATTTTCCCCATTTAGACTACTGACAAGTTCTTTCAAGCCTTCCAAGTCAAATTTCTTCAAGTCTTCTTCCGTAGCAGTTCCGTTCATTTTCTCCAGCTCTTTGATCATCCCAATGAGGCGCTCAAGTTTCCTCAATTCTTCCTCAGTGGCGTATTGGTTATCAGGATTGAAAACGTGTTGTTTTTCCGATGAGGTACGAATTTTTCTCCCGTCGCGTTCTTGAGCAATCCCCAAATCGGTGATAACTCCTTTCAAATGTTCGGGAATCATGTCAAGATTGTACTTTTCCTCTGATTTGTCACTGCGGTTTTCAGCTTTCAGGACTTTTCCTCGTCGAGCACTCCGCCCTAACCCGAAGGAAGCAAGAAGGGCGTCCATATCGTCGCGACTTGGCCCATCATCGGGCAATGGCTTGAAGCCAATATACGATTCAGGCTTGACTTCAGCTTTTTCAGGATAGTACTGATCCTCGCGAGTCGGTTTTTCAGTCGGTTTTGGGTTTGGTAACAAGCCAAAGCTCATCAAAAGATCGCGCATTTCTGGACTTAACGAATCCGCAACCATTTCTGCGTTTGGTACTTCAGTCGTGGTTGTGGTGGTGGTACCAGGCAGGACCTGGATTGAGGCTAAAATGTCCTTAATCCGGGTTTGTTCCGCTTGTGGTTTTAAAGCTGATTCCAAATTCAAGTCCTTCATAACTGTTTTCAAATTATCCGGTACCATAATTTCCTCAATGACTGGTTTTGGCGGAACTTCTGTGACTTCATGTTTGACATTTTCTTCAAAATCGAGATCAGGGAGTGAAACGTCGTTTTTCTGGGCTAGTTTTGGTGACTCAATTATGCGAATTCCTTGACTGGGAAGGGAGTCTTCGGGGTAGCGGTGGTTGGGGTGGTAGGTGGTTGGAGCGGTTGTGGTGCGTCTTCTGACAGGTCGGCGCGATTTTGTGGTTATCGGTGATGGTTTTGGAGCTTCCGTGGTGGCTTCTGGCCGTTTTCTTCGCACTTGGTTTCGCGGAATGGTTGGTTTGGTGACCTTCTCACTGATACTAGCCGAATATTTCTTCTTTTCTTCCGAAAAAAGTGGTTTCTTCGCCAAATCATTATCAGTGTCATTGAATTGAACCGGTGGTCTTCTCCTCGAGTGTTTCACTTTGTCCGCCTCCTCTTTGGTTTTAAAAGGCTCAGCCCCGATTATATGAGTCACAGGGGCCTTAGTATACAAGTCTTCCATATTTTTATCATTGGTGGGTGTATATGGCATGACTACCATCACAGCTTTGGGGTCCCGATTCCGCCCCAAAAACTTGATTTTTTCATCGTCGGAATTTGTGATGTTTTCCAACAAGTCTAAAATTTCGCCACGGGTCAAACGAGGAAGTGTTGGGTCCGACTTGAGTATTTCTTCGACTACTTGCACTGTGTTATCGATGATGTTGCTTTGTGGGTCAATGGAGCGACTGAGTGGTTCTTCGCGTTCCAGACTGTTCACTTCTTCCGGTGTTGAAACATCAAGATCGGGCAATTTGAGTTTTTGGGCTGGGTGGGAGTGCACCAGGACGAGTGTTGACCACAGCAAAATTCGCATCTGGAAATAAGTAAATGAGAAAACTTTCTCCCTTTTTTGCAGTTTAGTGTCTAGGTCAACCGGTTTATTGAAATTAACCTGGATTTATAATGTTTCTTAATTCGTTTTATTATAATAATTGTTCGATTATAATACTTTCTGTTTGCGTTTTCCGCTCATCACTTTCTCTTTCTGGTGTTTTGTTTTTACTAATTCTATTGTAGCTACTAACAGGTCGTTGACTAACTGGATATTCCTGATGTCTAAATAGCTGACACACATAATTGGAATATCATTTAAGGTTAACACAAACCTGTAAAATGTTGTAATAGCCGAACTTAAATGGTAAAGTCGTGTCTTATTGCCGTAAATAATTAAACTGACACACTTCCTACGCGACACATCTTTATTGCATTGACATAGCGGATCACGATCAATAAAACAATGACACCATCATCAATAATCATTCAACTTTCAAAAAAGTCTTGCCTAACTAAGGCTGTCGCCGGTTGTATTACTATCCTGGAACTAGAATCCCAATTTTCAACAAAAATAACAAATAATATACAAAAATAGAAGTAATATATCACCCTAATACATTTATGTCTATGTTTTTCGAAAAGCAATTTAACAGCCTAAAAACTAAAAATGTTTTTTTTTTAATTATGTAACTTTCAACACATTTCTTAATTTTTAATACCGTAATTAAAATGTGCTAAAATAAATATTATAGGCTTAAAATGTGTACTTTTTTACGAGTATTTGACTACATACTACATCGCGTCATTTCTCTAGTTCAATTTTTGTGAGTAATTTTTTTTATAAAACATCAAACCTTTATCAAAGCAAAATTTACTAATAAAATATTAGCTTAAAAGGCAGAAAACGTAAAAAATCTAAGGTCTTTAAGAAACATAAGCTTGTATTATTGTTTTTTTATTAATATTTTGTTTAATTTTGTCGAAACGCATTTAATAATCAGGAAAACAAATTCAAATTGATCTTATTTTGTTTGTATCACTCGATTTAACTGGTTTATTTTAGTAAAATTAAATAAAATAAATAATGGGAAACCAGAAAATTTGACTTTTATTTTTGTACTAAAAGAGTTTTTTTTGCAAGATTTTAGTCTAAAAAACAAAAATCATCAAATTAAGTCGAAAATGATATTATTTTTGAATTTCTAAAGCGTTTTTCAGCTGAAAACAAAATTATTTTCCAAAATTTCGTTGACAATAAGCAGAAAAATCACAGAATGGAGACGAAAATGATGTCATTTTTGCCTTTTTCGAACATAAGAAGATTTTGCAATACCGAGTCATTATTGATTTTAAAAATTATAGTTTATGTAGAAAGATATTATTGGAAACCTGCTAAAAATAAGTAAAAATCCGACAACTTGTTCATGTTCATGTTTTTCAAAAAGTGATTTAAAAAATTCAAAAAAAAAAATTCATTTACGTTTTTAAGGTTATTTAACTTTTAACACAATTTTATATCATCGTGGTTGCAATGTGTATTATACGGTTAAAAAATTTGTACTTTTTTCTTTAAAGTATGCAGTTTTTCTAGTTTTTTTGGTTTTTGTGTAACATTTTAAAAAACACAATGTTTTCATTTAAAGAATTAAATCTTATCAAAAACAAAACAAAATTGACCAATAAAAATGTAACTTCAAAGGTAAAAGGCACAAAACGTAAAAATTATTAGATGTTTCTTTAAAAAAAATACAACACGTTTTAAAGTGGTTTTTACCTAGTCGCCTACAGAATTTCTTTACATGTAAATTTTTCTGTGCCGCTCTACTCTTTTTGAATCAGATAGTTCTGTATACAGTGACAGCTGTACACACATTGAATAAATTAACATTTGAGGTTAATTAGATTCAATATTTTTTAAAGCGGCATTTTTTATTTTACATGTAAATTCCATGACTAGATAAAAATCACGCTGTATAAGTTCTATACCTCATTTTTGAAAACAAGTTTAAGCGATACAGTAGTTAGTTAGTATAAATATCTTCTTTATACAATTTTTTCATTATTTTAAAATTGGTGGAGGTTTAAAATTGAAAATTGAGACTTCTTCTAGCCTTGAACTTGTTCAGCTGTGAAAAATTACAAAATTAAATAAAAAATTTTTTATTATTGTTAATTATTACTTATTTGGTTAATTTTGTCCAAACGCATTTAATAATCAGAAAATAATATATTCAAATTGATCTTATTTTGTTTGTCTCACTCGATTTGATAAAAACAAAATAAAAAGCAGAGAAACCACAGAGTTTGGTTAAAAATACTTTTCAGCAAGTTTTTGTAGTAAAACAGTTTCTTTGCAAGATTTCGCTAAAAAAACAAAAAATCATCAAATTAAGTGAAAAATGATATTATTTTTTAGCTACAGACAAAATTATTTTGCAAAATTTTGTTAAAAACAAACAGAAAAACCCCAGAATGTGAACCAAAATGATGTCATTTGTGTCATTTTCAAGCATTTAAGAAGATTTTGCAATCTAAGTCAAAAATCAATAAATTGTTATAAAAATATTA